TAAAAATTAGGACTGAACCAGCAACTATTTCTTCACACTAGGCCCATCCCAAGTGAGATATTTCTACCTAGTGCAGTCCACACCCTCTTATGTCAGAGCTAAGCAAAGTTTTGTAATTCGATTTCATAGGTAAATGATCTTATTTTATGTCATTATTATTTTTTCAGTTGATATTAGACCATAATAATTGAATGGAATAGTGTGAATATTAAATAGTAAAAACATGTGAACCGAATGATTAGTCTGCATATGCACAAACAGTGAATGAGCAGTGAAATAAGTGAATGAACACCTTATATAGAAGTAAAAAGTATATGAATTGACACTAAATGGTTTACACTTGTAGCTTATGTTTAAATTGTACAAAATGATTGTTGTATTGAAATGTTGCACAAGAATTACTGTACATTTTCATGCTGCATTATCCTGTAGCCTACAGTTGACAAATAAAATCTAGGCTACACATTTTCTTATGGTTTTCCCCATGTTCTTAATTAAGTAATATTGTACATAGTTGTTTGTATTTTATATTATAGCCTATATGTTGAACCACTTTGAAAATTTGAAAGATACAGCACACCAAGCTTATAAAATCCTTTCCTATTCGGAAAAAAAACATATGTCCTCTTACAAAATAAGTGATATTGTGGACGTCAGTAATTTCATGTCAATTCAAACTCAATTTAAAATTTGCATGAGATAAGGCATCACAGGGATGGGTGTGTTGGCCTTTAGCCTATGCATTGTCGTCACGGCAAACAGCCTACCAATCAAAAAATGCATTTATGTAATAATTAGGTAGTTATGTGGGATGTATTAAACATGAGCATGCATCAAAATACAACTGTGAATCTGCAATTTTATATTTGACACTGGCTTTTACTGACATATCAATTTGCACTACTGGGTTTGTTTTTCGTTTTATGGACATTTTATACAGTAGATGGTTATTACAAGATGCTGTACTGAGATGGTCAATTTGAACGTGATTAAAATTACAGATAAGTCATTAATAGTAATTCAACTGGCAATTATTACACTATCTCGCTGTAAACAACTAAACTTGAATAGGGTTTTTTGGGTTACAAGTCAGTTGAGATATGATGTTGTATTGTTGAAAAAGCTGCATAGCCTAAATTAAGATTGTAGTGATTGTTCATTCTGAATAACCTCAAAAGGTTTGTCTACGTAAGTTGCTGTGTATTATTGTTAGTTTGTACGTTGCTGAACATTCCAAGACACACCCTATGCCATTATAACAATAAAACACGAGAGCAATCATATTTTTATGTGATAGACGTTATTCTTCCACATGCATCAAAGAGATTTTGTGACATTGAGGCTCACACCCTAAATGTATTATTATAAGAAAGAATACTGAGATTAGTTTGTGGCTAAGTATTTTGCTGTGCAGCAGTTTCAGTATCAGCATAGGCTATGTGCACACAATTATTAAATCAATACATTTAATTTATTAGCCTAATTAGCATATACTAGAGAGCATATTATCATAGTCAAAATAATGATTTCATTGCACGTTTGATGATTATCATGTCACCAATTGTCACTTCCTCTCTATTTCCAATTCTCAGATTTCAAGATGAAATGTTTGTGCAGAGGAGGTTGTCAGTTGGCAGAGAGGTGGGGTGGGATCCCAGGTCCTGTGATAGCATACAGTGACAAAACAGCAAGTAACACATTGAATTAAACATGAAATTTGTATGTAGATAAACTGAAAAAGTATTTTCTTGTTAAACAATACTCTAATAATCTCTAAAAAAAAACTTCACAACTTAAGAGCTAAAAACCAAATTGTTATAGTATTGCCATGAATTTACTAATCAAATAAAAATATTAATAATAAATATATTTTAGCTGTACATTGTATAATGTTACTGAAAATATAGCTTTTTTAAAATATAATTTTTTTTAAATTCAATTTTTGAAACAAACTTTTTTCATTTAAATTAAATAGGACCTTTAAATATGTAATGTATGTAGTAAATTTAATCAGATTTATTCTATTTCTTTTCTATTTCATTAAGCCTTTTATAAGGCTAGTTTTAGTTCACCTTTTATTGCTTTAGACTTTATTTTATTTTACATAAAAATAGGCACATTGTTGTCACCAAAACACCTTTTATTATCCTGACAAAAATGAATTCTTGACATTCATGTAATCAGCATTGTATTTACACCCTTCATTGTGGATAGGAAATAATACCATCATGCTTCTGTATTGCGTACTTCAGGGTTCGGTCGTTGAACTACAATTTTTACCACACCCTACACGTCAACATACCTTTGATATAGTATCGCACAAAATTGCTCTTTTCAGTCTGTTACTTTTGAACTAAGAAGACAAATCACACAGAGCTTTGCAATACCGTTTGGTGTACATGGTTATGACTTTAAACAGCAGAAGGAGGTAGGTGAATGATTGCATATAAAATGATTGAAATAATACAGCATATAATACTGTATAGCACTCAATAATACATAATATTCAATACAACAACATTTATACTATGTAAAAATGTTATATGTTTAAAATAGCCCCTGTGTCTGCTTTTGTGATTTGTTGTAAACTTGTATGAACTTTAAAGCAATTAAGAATTTAATTAAGAATGCCTTTTAAATTACAATTCAATTCTTAAAGTTGAATTTCAAATGAGGTACCAAGTAAGGAAGAAAAAATTCTGTCATTTTCATCTAGAAAAGCAAGAATGTTGACTTGACAAAGTCTTGTTTGATGAAAAGTAGAGTAAAAAAAAAAGTTAAACGGAGAGACAGACAGAATGATAGACAGACTGACTGACCAATAGACAGACAGACAGACAGACAGACAGACAGACAGATAGATAGACAGACAGACATATGATAGATAGATAGATAGATAGATAGATAGATAGATAGATAGATATATTGATAGATAGATAGATAGATAGATAGATAGATAGATAGATAGATAGATAGATAGATAGATAGATAGATAGATAGATAGATAGATAGATAGATAGATAGATAGATAGATAGAAAGAATTTAGGCCAATTAGATTCAATTAAAATTCCATCTCACAAATTGAAGTAACACAGTTATTAACACAGATGTCAAACCCATTTTGAGCTTTAATAGATGATAATTAAATCAGTAATTATGAATAATTACTGGTGACATCACATTCATACGTTGGTGACCTAATGCTGTATAGACTGTTCGGTAGTACACTGGATAGATGGCAAAAGTATGCATTGAGGCTACGTATTCAGTCACCAGGGGGTGCTCATTGAAATCTAGACTTTGAAATCTAAAATGACAAATAGGACACCCTATGGCAGTGGTTCCCAATCCTGGTCCTGGAGAACCCCCAACACTGCATATTTTAAATGTCTCCCTAATCAAACAGCTTAGTAAAAACTCCAAGACCTCAAATGTGTGTGTTAGATAAGAGAGTCATCAAAAACGTGCATTGTTGGGGGTTCTCCAAGACCAGGATTGGGAACCACTGCCCCCAACACTGCAAATTTTAAATGTCTCCCTAATCAAACACACCTTATTGAACTAATCAGTTCATTAGTATTAACTCCAAGACCTCAAATGTGTGTTTGATAAGAGAGACATCAAAAACGTGCATTGTTGGGGGTTCTCCAGGACCTGGATTGGGAACCACTGCCCCCAACATTGCATATTTTAAATGGTTCCCTAATCAAACACACCTGATTGGGATTGGGAACCACTGCCCTATGATGCTGTGGACTTCACAGGCATTAGCATGTGGCAGTCATATCAAAACCATGAATACACATCAGATGTTTCATGAGCATTGATTAGAGCTGATAAAACTGCAAATTCATGCCAAAAGAAAGTTACGAAACAATTCACAGTCATCTGGATCAGCATTTTCCTATGTGTTAATCAGGAACAGCTTTCCTCTAACCTTAAAGAACACTGTAAATGACCACGAATTTAACGGTAAAAGACTGTAAAAATGCTACAGTAAAAACCTGTTAAATGGTTAATGGTAAGTTCCCCTACTATATACAGTGAAAACCTGAAACGGACATTACATGTAATTTTACGGTAGTATACCATTTTTGGAAGTCATAAAAAGAACGTATCATTTACAGTGAATAACCATAGATTGACATTCCCAGAATTCCCTGCGTTACATTTCAAATTTGATGTTTTGGTTGAAATAACTGTTTCTTCTTAGTTTTTTTTATTATCAGTTTTGTACATTAGGGTTGTATGTTACGTCTAATGTTGTTAAATTAATGTTTATTGCATTATTTCAGTTTTATGTGTGTTACCATGATGGTGTTTAGTGTTTGTGTGAATGACACTGTGCATGGGTTTGATTCCCAGGGAATGCAAGCTGATAGAAATGTATATACCTTGAATACAGAGTCCAACTGGTCCCTAACATATAATGTAAACTGGGCTGACTGAGAACTTTGTATTGACTAACAGTGCTTCTTCATATAATTATACTCCTTAAATACAATTACAGTCTTTTTTAATAAACACAATGATTTAGAAGTTGCTTTCAGTAGCATGAATACATTAATGTTTTGTAATTGATTAAATATATAATATAAATTATTTATCTTCTATTTTAGGTGGTGTTTCATTTCAAAATATGAGGCCAGATGGACTGTATTCCTCACCATATGTACGTATACTCTTAATCTGGATATTATGTGTTGAGAAATTGTTAAATAAAAATGTGACATGTAATCAAATGCTATTAAAATGTTTATGGAATTTAATAATAGTCTAATTTGAATTTTAAATGGTCAAAAGTTAATACAGTAATGAAATGTATTTTTTTCTTGACAGTATATGTATGGTGCATTGTTTGTGGAGGTACATCCTCCATAACACCAACAACACCAGTTTCAACAGTCAATGAAGTTTGTGTAATAAGAACTAAAGCATCTATTACCACAACTATGACCCTCAAACAAAATACATGCATAGCTGTGACTTTGACAACTACATCTCCAACAACTACTGATTCAATATCAATTGCATCTACAACTGAGGCTTCTACAGAAAATGCACCTTCAACAACAGCTACAGGTCAAACAGCAATGTCATCTTCAATGACAACAGAAACGGGAGCTTCCACAACCACAGATGTGATCCCCACAACCACACTCATATCCTTACCAAGTACAACAACAGCACCATCAACAGAAACTGAGGCTTCCACAACCATGGAGGTAACCCCCACAACCGCTCTCATATCCTCACCAAGTACAACTGCACCTTCAACAGCAACAAAAGCTGCTTCAACAACAACAGCACCGTCAACAGAAACTGAAGTTTCCACAACCATAGATGGGATCCCCACCTCCACCCTCATATCCTCATCAAGTTCAACTGCTCCTTCAATGGCAACAAATGCTGCTTCAACAACTACAGCACCACCAACAGAAACGGAAGCTTCCACAACCATAGATGTGACCCGCACAACCACTCTCATATCCTCACCAAGTACAACAACAACAACAGCACCATCAACAGAAACGGAGGCTTCCACAACCATAGATGTGATCCCCAGAACCACACTTATATCCTCAGCAAGTACAACTGCACTTTCAACAGCAACAAATGATGCTTCAACAACAACAGCACCATCAACAGAAACTGAGGCTTCCACAACCATAGATGTGATCCCCAGAACCACACTTATATCCTCAGCAAGTACAACTGCACTTTCAACAGCAACAAATGATGCTTCAACAACAACAGCACCATCAACAGAAACTGAGGCTTCCACAACCATAGATGTGATCCCCAGAACCACACTTATATCCTCAGCAAGTACAACTGCACTTTCAACAGCAACAAATGATGCTTCAACAACAACAGCACCATCAACAGAAACTGAGGCTTCCACAACCATAGATGTGATCCCCAGAACCACACTTATATCCTCAGCAAGTACAACTGCACTTTCAACAGCAACAAATGATGCTTCAACAACAACAGCACCATCAACAGAAACTGAAGCTTCCACAACCATAGATGTGATGCCCACAATCACCCTCATATCCTCATCAAGTTCAACTGCACCTCCAACAGCAAGAAATGCTGCTTCAACAACAACAGCACTATCAACAGAAACCGAAGCTTCCAAAACCATAGATGTGATCCCCACAACCACTCTCATATCCTCACCAAGTACAACAACAGCACCATCAACAGAAACTGAAGTTTCCACAACCATAGATGGGATCCCCACAAGCACCCTCATA